GTATTTATATAGCGCTATTTCTATCACTATCCAATAGCGCTGTACAATAATTTTATAAATCGGACCGATAAGATTAAAAAACCATAAAAATCTCTAAAACATGAGTAAAAGAAACTAGCTAATAAGGTAGTCTGTAATAATGAGAGTAAAAACTTGAAACTTATATTGAAATTAACTAATTTCCTAGCCAATTAACTAGCTCACCAACTAATCAACTAATTTACTAGCTAACTATCTAGCGGCCTAACTTACTACTTATATAATTAAATAGCTCAGTAAGGAGTAGTCTAATTATAAAATTTGTTAAAAAGGTATGTCTTTATACAGGTCTTAAAATGTGATAGCGAGCCGCTCACTCTTATGTTGTTTGGAAGAGAGTTCCATAGAGTCGGTGCTACAAAAGAGAAACACCTATGACCATAACTTGCTAGCTTAACAGATGGTACTTTAAGTAAATTTTTAGAGGAGGACCTCAGATTTCTGGTCGTTACATAAGGCTTCAACAGTTCAGTGATGTAACTAGGGGCCTGGCCGTTGAGCGCTTTGTAGGTCAGAAGTAGTATCTTGTAATCTATGCGCTGGCTAACTGGGAGCCAGTGCAGCTGCTTTAAGACAGGTTTGATGTGGTCGTACTTTCTTGTACGAGTGACGGCACGAGCTGCGGCATTCTGGACATTTTGTAAGCGATCTATCCAGAATTTGGGCAGTCCGTATAGTAGCGAGTTGGTGATATCTAGCTTAGATGTAATGAATGCATGAACTGACTTTTCAGTATCTGCTAGAGATAGGCAGTCTCTTATCTTGCTAATGTATCTAAGGTGTAAGAAACAGGCTTTGCAGGTACTGGTAACATGCTTATTTAATGACATGTGCTCATCGAAGATAACTTAAATTACTTAACATTAACTTATTGGTCTGGTAACAAAACGCGCTCCCCACAATTAAAAGTGTGACACAACCAAACAACTTTTGCTGAGTAGACCTGTTCCCTTCATCCCTAAAAGTGTGAAATTAGGCTAGTTACATAATTTTGGTCTCAGCGACATTGAAAGGGAATGAATAATACTCTTATTTTAAAACGGTGGTGAAAAGGAGAAAATGTTTGAAAATCAAGATCTTCTTTAGTTGCTGATAATTTCCTTTGTTCTTTGATTGATTCATAGGTGATATTGTTGGTTTCTCAACTGTTGTGTCCATGTGAGTGCACGGCTGTCTCAAACGAATGATGATGTCTCAAAAAAAGAAATCGGCGCCCTGTCCCTAATTAGCGCCCAGTTTTGAATAACTTCCCTTCCTTGAGGTACCAGAGACAAATAAGCACCTAAGGCGCTAAATGGAATCATTACTGTAATCAAACATTTGATATCAAGTAATACTCGGTTTTGTAAATTATCAGACAGAAAGTTCTAGAAATTGCCATATGAAATTTAGCTACATGAATGTATCGCAGAGGTCATGGGTTCGAATTTTTTTTCCAGGCCTACTTTCCACTACTACACAAGTAGGGTTTATTACTGCGAGAATCGCTGTCATACATTTCATGAAACAGCAGCACACATGTATAATTTTCATATATTCAAATTCATTGAAAATAGAGATGCTGACATCAATATCCAGCAGTTATGAATATTTAATAACAATTAATAAGTCGTTATCATCAGTTTTTTCCTTTCTCGTAGAAAATGGCTGGTTGAACTACCCTACAATATTTGCATGCATGGATTAGGCGATAACCCGGGAGTGTTCTTCGCACCTTTGGTCGGTAAAATCCACTCTATCAGGTTCGTGCATATCTCTGGTAGTGTGGGTTGCGCGACTGATCAAAAGTATAACTGGGGTTGTCATTCTGACATCGGCACCATTATCACAGATAAAGATACAAACATTGTTTACCCAGAAGATCGAGGAGCCCATATTTACCAGCTCTCTGGATTAACCAATAATTCCCCTGAACTGACGCTAACATTCACCATTCCACTGGTGGTAACCGCTGGTCAAGAATATCAAGTATGGTTCTTAGAGGACCTGACTAACTTTCATGAAAGGAATAACAACCCTGGACCATCTTGCATGAAAGTCATTTTGCTTGTTTAGCTCATGATATGGAAAGAATAAAGAAGGCTGAAGATAAAAGTATTCGATCCACGAATTGTTCCATAAAGCACAGAAATATGCATAAGGGTATGAGAATTGTATGATTGAGAAGTTTATGCTCTCAAGTCTTTGATTTCTCAAATGCAGATTTTTACACCGCGAAATTTTTCGCTTTTTTAGTAGGCTTTTCGTTCGAACAAGCTTAGAGAAAAAGGCTAACAATAATCTACTTACTTTAAATGCACTCTGTACAATTGGTACAAGTGACTGTGAATCACAAACATTAAATCTGCTATTGGCACAGTGATGCGACGTAGAAACCTACGCGCCAAGAGATTATAATTTATTAGACGCGTTTACGATAGGTATACAGGGTTCTGTCGATTTTGTGGAGGAGAGATGGAGCTAGAAGTCATGCAAAGAGTGAACGTTGATTTTCTCAAAGTACAAGTCAAGCTGTACCAAAAGAAACCAAACAACTAAGTACAGATTCCAAGGCGAGTTATTGTCACTTGGACACATTTGTGTCGCGGAGTTATCATCTTAAGGGTTGATCTATGTTGAAAAACAAATGAGTTCTGACCAATTACTCCAAACATTTTTATCATTGTATGCTGTAGGCAAAAGTTCATATTTCCTTCCAGTAGATATATATTTGTATAATCTGATGAGGGCATACAAAAACTGTTATTACTTCTCGGTCAAATACTACCCTGAACCATGAAATCCCACACCACATCAAATAATCAAACAGGTGGTATGACGCATTGATCTTTTTGATAATCACCTGTCCAGAGTAATAAAGCGCTGACCAGGATTCTATGGATTAACTCCTCGTCTCTTACCCTCTGCATTTCTATTCATGGTGATGGCGATACAAGAAGCCTCTAGAGCTATATAGTATAGTTAGATTAAAAATTGATTTACAATCGAAGACGATCCTTAGATTTTAAGGTTGACAGAGCGAATTCTGTGCCTATCCACTTTCGTTACTTATTCTGGTCCGCTCCTCGAAGTACAATTGAAGCTGCACCCTCGGCACAATCTCTTATCTGGGTACCAGAGAGAACTGAAGTCGTAGTGATTTACTGAGTGAAGTCCGTGTTCTAAATATAACGCGCGAATATAATCTTCTGTTAAAGGCTGATAGTTTCTAAAGAAACTGTTTGGGGCTGCGTCGGTGGGGGTAACGAAATAATTTGAATATATCAAACAAAGTTGAAATGGTAAATTGGCTT